GCCACGACTCGGTCCCCTTTCTTTTTAACTTGCTGCTAAAAGTCTTCAATTTTTTATTTTTTAAATTTATTTTTAATATTTTTTTGGCTGCACCGCATGGCTTGTGGGATCTTAGATCCTCAACCAAGGACTGAATCTGTGCCCTCAGCAGTGGAAGTGTGGAATCCTAACCACTGGATCACCAGGGAATTCGAATTCCTAAGACCTTCATTTTTAAGATAAATTAGATGCATAAATCTCTTATCACGGGCACAAGATGTTCCCTATCTCCTTCCATACTGCTGAGAACTGTTGTTGTTGTTGTTCAGTCGCTAAGTCACATCTGACTCTTTGTGACCCCATAAACTGCAGTACGCCAGGCTTCCCTGTCCTTCACTATCTGCCTGAGTTTGCTCAAACTCATGTCCATTGAGCAACTATGTCATCCTCTGTTGCCCCTTTTTCCTCTTGCCCTCAGTCTTTCCCAGCATCAGGGTCTTTTCCAGTGAGTCGACTCTCTGCATCAGCTGGCCAAAGTACTGGAGCTTCAGCTTTAGTATCAGTCCTTCCAATCAATGACTATTCAGGGTTGATTTCCCTTAGGATTGACTGGTTTGATCTTCTCACTGTCCAAGGGACTCTCAAGAGTCTCCTCCAGCAACACAGTTCAAAAGCATCAACGCTCAGCTTTCTTTATGGTCCAGTTCTCACATCGGTACATGACTACTGCTGAGAACTGATCAAACTTAAAATACTGCTGAACCTACTGATTAATGACTGTCAGCCCCAAAAGCCCCAAGTCAATTACAGGTAAACTAAGTCAGTTTCACTGTCAACACGTTGAATGTTGATGGACATCACTAAATCATAATATCCAACAGCTTCAACTATTCGGGGGCATATTTTACAGCTAACTCATGCCCCAAAGCTTGTTGAGAGGTCAGCAACCCATCAGGGGATATTCAGGGGAAGACTTGCCCAGGCTTGGTCACTCACTTAACCAACACGGAGACTTGTGGCTGCAGTGTCCTGTGATGTGCTCTGAGGATGCTGAAAGGTCCTGGCCCTAAGTGGAGGACAGGAGAGGCCCATGACAGCCGTGCTACCACCAGGCTGTAGGCTCCAAAGACAGCCCTGTGCTGTATTTGTGATTATATCTTGCACCTAACAGGAGACCTAATGCTTAATATGTGCTCAATAAATAATTACAGTGAATAATATGACATGCCTCTGATTACAAACATTTGAGAAATCAGGAGGAAGCAGTTAATTCTGCTAGGGAACTGAAGAAGCCTTCACAGATGAGGCCACAGAATCAAGCTGGTCCTTCAACGTAGGAGTCAACAGGCAGAGAAGGGAGAAGGGCAGTCCAGGAAGAGGGTAGCGAATGGGAGGGTGCGATGTCTCAAGAGGTCAGGCAGGAAGGAAGGCAGGATGAAGAAGGATCTTGAAATACAGGAAGGTCCAGGCCCTGTAGACTCTATGCTCTGGTCATAGAGTCCACTGTCCACATGACAAGCTCTTCTTAGCATCAGGAGCCAAGTTGCCTCTTTAGAAACATTACTTTCCTTTTGTCCAATAGTGAAACCATGCTGTGTTTCCTTTCTCAGCTTGACTGCCAGGAAGCTCAAGTGCTGGGTTCCTTATACCTTTTTTGTAACATGGGGCCCTGTAACAGCCCCATGTAGCACTCTTTACCCGGAGGTCCTGTGTTAGTTCTCTGTTGCCGCAAAACACAACAAACATGGCATCTTAAGACAATACGCCTTTATTATTCGGTTTATCACGGGAGTCTGAGCTCTTCAGCAGGGCTTCAATCAAGGTGTTGGCCAGGGCCAGGGTCTCATCTGAGGTTTGACTGAGGAAGAATCTACTTGCAAACTCACGTGGCTGTTGGCAGAATTCAGTTCTTTACAGGCGACAGGCAGAAGCCTCAGTTTCTTGCTTGGTGCCAACTGGGATCCTACCCACTCTACAGGCAGTCCACAGCATGGCAGCTTGCTTCTTCAAAGTCAGTAAGGGAGGGGGTACCCTAGCAAGATGGTTGTTACCATCTAGTGTAACACAATCACACACACACAACCACACAACTCATCACCTTTGCCCTGTGTTACTGGTTAGAACAAGCGCCACACATCCATGCCTCCCTCTCACACCCAGGAGGAAGGCTCATGGGGCCACCTCAAATCTGTTCACTGCAAGTCCTCATCAGGTAGTAACCGCTCTCTAATTGAACTACTCCTTTTGGCAAATAAGAGCATCAGGTCACATAGACATACACAGTGAAGTGAGCAAACGATTCCTGCTAAGAATGCTCTCCCTGCCCTCACAGCATTCACTGTAATGTGGGGCACAGATTAAGTTGATAAATATGAGATGAAGACATATTATAGGATTCACATTACTGCTAGAAAGACTTGAGAGTCTTCTACCATCAACGTGATTATCTGATTGTCATAAATTTCTTGATTGACAAACATAAAACAAAGGTAGTAGCCATAAAGTGGGAACTAGGTCAGATATCTGCTGCCGCTGCTGTTGCTTCAGTCGTGTCCGACTCTGTACGATCCCATAGATGGCAGCCCACCAGGCTCCGCCGTCCCTTGGATTCTCCAGGCAAGAACACTGGAGTGGATTGCCATTTCCTTCTCCAATGCATGAAAGTGAAAAGTGAAGGTGAAGTCTCTCAGTCGTGTCCGACTCTTCTCGATCCCATGGACTGCAGCCTACCAGGCTCCTCCGTCCATGGGGTTTTCCAGGCAAGAGTACTGGAGAGGGTTGCCATTGCCTTCTCTAGGTCAGATATCACTATTATGAATTTGGCCCTTCCCTGGAAAAACGTCTCTTAACCCCCAGCACCTATTGTTTTCCCCTACATTATAGATATAGTTAGTGCAAAGTTTCACTAGCACAGTATGAGACTCTGGGCTCTGAGGTCACATGGCATCAAGCTTAGTCACTGACTGTATAACCTTGGACAAGTTACTTAAGTTCCAATAAGGACAGCAAATGCTTGTTTAGTATCTGCTACGTACCAGGCTTGGGCTTTCCTGGTGACTCAGTGGTAAAGAATCCGCTTGCAATGTAGGAGGCAGCCTGCAATGCAGGCAACTCTGGTTCGATCCCTGGGTCGGGAAGATTTCTTGGAGAAGGAAATAGGAACCCACTCCAGTATTCTTGCTGGGACCATCCCGTGGACAGAGGAGGCTGGCAGGCTATAGTCCATAGGGTCATAAGAGACATGACTTAGTGACTAAACCACCACTACCAACATATGCCAGGCTTTTAACATACATTAAATTCATTAAAATTCATATACATTCATTTAACCCATATAAACACCCAGGAGAGTAGGCACCATTATTAACCCATTTATAGATAAGAAAACTAAGGGATGATTAAGCCGGGCCTAAGATTCTCAACTTTAGCAAGATCATGGAGATTGAAGGGTTGTGCCTGAGTGCTCAGTCGGTAAGTTGTGTCCAGCTCTTTGCGACCTCATGGACTGTAGCCTGCCAGCCTCCTCTGTCCATGGGATTTTTCCAGGCAGGAACATTGGAGTGGGTTGTCATTTCCTTTTCCAGGGGATTTTCCTGACCCAGGAATTGAACCAGTGGTCTCCTGTGTCTCCTGCATTGGCAAGCGGATTTTTTACCACTAGTGCCAGCTGGGAAGCCCAAAGGGTTAGCGGTGGACAAGATAATTGAGGGCAAGGTAAAAGCAAATAGGATGCTAGTGCTAGCAGATTCTCTAATCTGCTGTCCCCATTGCTGACCCTGGCCAAGGACAGCCAGAAACCCTGTGGTGCAGGGCAAGGGGCCCGTCTCAGCTTCTGGAACCTTCCACTAGTTCCACAAGGGCAAGGGCATCTGTATTAACCTGTGAGCAGGAGGAAGCCCAGGAACCAAGACTTTGCAGTCCTGGGATGACTAGTAGATAGAGGTGGCTGAAGTTCAGCCTCTGAGAGCAGAGAAGAGGGGAAGGGGCTGGACAGAGTGGACTCAACCAACAGAGACACACCTGGAGAAAGGGCCCTTTTAGAACAGCTGGGCTCCCCAAGACTGTTCAGCAGACAAGAGGATGCAGCAGGGACGGGGGAAGAGGCTGGCACTCAAGAGGGGTCTAGGGACCCTCCCTTTCACTCCTCACAGCCAGGAGGCTCTGGGTCTCTGCAGATCTGGGGGTCCCTTACTGAGGGTCCCTGCATCCTTCTCATGCCCCCACCTCCAGATCTTTAGCCCTCTGAGGCTGCCTCCTGTCGGGCTGTGGGGAGGGGACCCGTTAGAGTCCCCAGACTCTCACAGAGCCAGACACCCTCTTAATTCAGAACGCCTTCCTCTCCCCAGATGCCCCTTCATCCTTGTACCCCAGCCTGCAGGCCACCATGGGAGTCTGGCTTCTCCGCAGGGCTTAGCAAAAAAAACAAAAACAAAAACAGTGTTTCTTACATTTTCCCCGCCAACATGGCGGGGTAATAGCCCGGAGGCTCCGCCGGTTCGCAGACACAAAATGAAGGCGGCTCAGTGCAGAACCAGGCTGCAGACACAGTCCCCACGGGGTACATGGAAACCGCATGCCTGTCCTCACTCCCTCGAACACCACCCCCCCACCCCCGCATCTCCCATCTCCCCCTTTCCGCCTGCCTGTTTCCCCTTCCTTGGGGCGGGGGGGTGGACAGAGGAGTCCCCCGCGCTTTGGCGCTTGCTGCCCGCGAGCGTGCCCATTTTCCCGTGGGGGCGGGCGCACTTCTGCTCGCGAGCTGTCGGCGCGCGCTGGGCACACACGGCAATCTCTCGCTGTGATGGGGCCGTTGGCGCGCGCCCGGGTGCCCCTCTGGGCCGCCTGCCCCTGGGGAGAAATGTGAGCCCCCAACACAAGCTGGAGGCTTTGCAGACACTGCACCGGCCCGACCCTCGCCCCCCAAGGTGCAGCCCAGGAGGGACTCGGGGCGCCAAGAGCGCGTAACGAAACGCAGGAGCGTTCAGGCCGGGTGACAGTCAACTTGGCGCACAAATACGGGTTCAGGGGCCGCGAGCCTTGGCGGCGGGGACGGAACGGACGATGCGGTGCGTCTTGGATCGCAGGGTCCCGCGGGGCCGCTGCTCGGCCGGGGGCGGGGAGGCGGCTCCTCCATGCTCCATTTGAGCCCTGGAAAAACCCCGGCGCGCAGGGGAGAGGCGGGCCAGCTCGCAGGCACGGCCGCGGATGGCGGGAACAAAGACGGCCCGCGGCCGGATGCAGTCATGGAAAAACCCATCGGGGCGCCGGGGCGGGCGCGACAGGGGAGGGGCGGCGCGCGCTCGGCCGCCCCGCCACCCTCGCCGGCCGGGCGGGCGGGGCTGCTCTCGGATCCCGCCCCGGGAGCGCTCCTCGTGGGCAGATGGGGGAGACCCGGGAAAACAGAGAATGCTGGGCGGGAAGGGGCGGTCTGGGAACCTAGAACCAGAAGTACCCTGGCTCCGGGGGCGGCGTGCATCCTGGCTCCGCTAACACACCCCCGTGCTCTCGGCCGGGACTGGAGGGTAGCCGGCCTGGTGCGCGCCGGGTACACGCGGGCTGCACACGGCCACTGGGAAGCTGCGGCAGCGGGTGGTGGCCGGCCTCTAGGGGGCGCGCAGACACCTCTCCCCCACCCCCAGGCCAGGGCGCGGACGCGTGTGCGGCAGCTCTCACTCCTCTGTACACACATGCTCATATAAACGCACGTGCTCCCCGACACGCGAGCCAACCCCAGCTCCCAGGACAGAGGGAAGGAAAGCGTCCTAACGAGCGGGGCGGATTAGATGCTTCTTTGGCGGCCCCCAGGGCAGGTGACAGAACCTCAGGAGCTAGAGGCGAGGACCCTTAGAATCTGACGCCGAGGTTAGGGTCCCCCCTCCCCCCTACTTTACAGGTGTGGGCCAGGATCCCATCTCAGAGCTAGAGTTTCCCTCCCGTTCAGGACGCCGCCTGCTGGTCCTGGTCTTAGAAACACGCTTGGAGACGGGGAGGCTAAGGATTTTTTTTTCTCTTTAGAAAAGGAAAGTGTTGGCTGGAGTCGGGCTCAGTGACTTCTGAGGCCTTTCCAGTTAAGACTTATTATGAAGAAGGAACTGGACCCAGAGACCATAAAAGGAGTTGGTGGGAGCGGAGGAAAAAAAACCTTGGTGCCTGGTTTGGCCCCAGCCACAGGCTCAAACGTCCCCTTGTTGGTGCTTCTGTCTGCAGTGGGGCGCCAGGGTGCAAACGAGAACCCATGCAGGGGGGTCCCTGGGGTGGGGAGGGGACGTGGAAGAGGACATGATTTTGGGGGGCTCAGAGCCAGATTCTGGAGAAGAGACCTCAGGTTCCGCCTGAGTGGGGAGGCTGCTAGGTTGGGGTGGCAGGTGGGGCTTCTTGAAGCCCGGAGGGCAGGGAGCCCACCACCTCAAAAAGTTTAGGAACAGGGCTACCTTTCTGAGGACTGGCTGTTGGAATTGTGGGAATACAGTTGTGCTGGGAATTCCAGCCACCTCCCAGAATACAGGGTGAGTAGAAGCAGGCACAGCAGCGACAGGACAGGGTCAGAGGAGCTGGCAGCCACTTGTGGTCTCCTTGGGAACTGAGGTTGGAATCAAATGACCCAGACCCGGCCTCTCCCTAACTTCCTGGTTTGGGGGATCTGATCCGATATCTCTGGACCTCAGATTCCTCATCTGTAAAGTGGGAACAAGAGCTGTTCGGCAGGCTCCCTCCATCCTGCCTGCCTTCCTTTTCCACTTCTCCAAGCCCCTGGAGCTTGCTCATCAGGACTCCTTCCAAGGCCTAATTTCTTTGAGAGCAGGTGGGGTCCAGTGGGACGTAGGCTGGGGAGCAGCGCCCCCTCGTGGTAAATATCGGGAGGGCTCGGTTATTCCGGGAGGACTCACGCGGGCTACCCTGCTTTTGGTGCCTGATGGGGGCTCTGGCAAGTTAAGAGCTTCCAGGAGCTGATCCTGGGGCTCCACTCAGGGAAACGTTTCCATCTTGCTTCAGCTACCCCGTTGAGCAACCAGAGAGAATTCTGCTTCCCCGCAGCAGCCTCCCGTCTGCCTCCTCACAGCCCTGCTTCTCCTCTTCTCCAGGCTTCTCTCACTTCTGTCCCGGAGGAATCCATTTGGCATTTACACTGTGCTTTACGGCTTACACAGCACTTTGACACACATTAACTCGTCCCTGAGGTGTGCTGTTTCTGGGTGGTGACGGCCCTAGATGGATAGAGGATCCTGGTTTGGGGCGTGGCTCCAGCACCAGAGGGCTGGTTTGGATCCTGCCTCCTCCATCCAGCTGTGTAACCAGGGCAACGCTCAAAACATTGAATAACCAGAAGGACAGGCAGCGACCAATCAGAACAGGCCCTGCCCTAAACACCAGGTACAGCCAAATATGTGTACCTGCTGAAGATTCTGGAACAATCTCAGCCTCACGGGGCCTAGGTTTCTCTATCTGCAGTAAGGACACATTGATCCCACTTTATAGGACTGTTGTGGGGACTGAATTAGTTACTGCATGTAAAAGATGGAGAAACCAGCGTCTGGCACATAGAAAGCACCCACTAAGAGCTTTATTACTGGTCCCATCTCTTCTCAGACTCTGTGACTCAGGGTGAGCGCCACTCTTAAGGGATAATAACTCCCCTCCCTGCAGTGAGCCCTCTATATACATCTGGGCTTGCCCCCAGCTCACTTCCCACTTACCACACTTCCTCTAGTTATTTTACTAACCAGAAGTGCTTCTCAAGCTTTCCCACATATCCGAATTTCTGGGAGACCTTATTATGCTGCAGATTCTGATTGAGAAGGTCTGTGTGGGGCCTGGGATTCTATATTTCCTACAAGCTCCCAAGTGGTGCTGATGCTGGTCTGAGAAGCAAGACTCCCAGAGATCACTGCAGAAACAGAAATGTCAGCAGTTTGTAAGCCATAAATGTTCACTGAGCACTTACTCGGTGCAAGGCTTCCCTGGTGGCTCAGATGGTAAAGAATCCGACTGCAGTGCAGGAAACCTGGGTTCGATCCCTGGGTAGGGAAGATCCCCTGGGTCAGGGAGAAGGGCAACCCACTCCAGCATTCTTGCCCGGAGAACTCCATGGACAGAGGAGCCTAGCAGGCTACAGTCCATGGGGTCTCAAAGAGTTGGACACGACTGAGCGACTAACACACAGTCAGTGCAAGGCTGTGCAAGGGATCCAAACAGTCCAAGGGCTGGGTTCCAACCTCATGTGGCAGACTAGTTATCTTGCACAAATGGAGGTTAAAACCTAGTAATTGGGCCAAAGGGCTAATATGTGCCAAAGGGTGTGCATGTGGTGAATCCATTCTCTGCCCTATAGCCAGAGTGATGCCTTGAACAGGTGATGCTCTTGGCTTTGGCCAAGATATTTTACTTTCTTCAGTTCAGGTGATCCCCAGAGAGGGCTGACAGCTGAGGGTCCTTCTGTCTGAAGCCTGTACTCCCACCTCTGGGGTACCCTAAGTCCTTCAGGCCTGCAGGAGACTGGATGGTGCAGCACAACGCCCCCAAGTGGGTATGCACCCTGGCAGGAGGACAGGAATCAGCGAAGCTGGTGGAGGGGGCGGGCTGTGCAGGGAGTCCAGCAGAGGAGTTTGCCGGGCCTGATCCCGGGTGGAGATGAACCAGATGGGCTGAGGCAGAAGTTCTCTCCCTTGGTTCCCTGAGGACAGAGTGGGATGAATCATGGGTGGGATGTAGACCACAGGCACAACCTCGGCTTTTGTTCTTCTGTATTGTTGTACTAATCAGTGTCAACTTATCATCCATCAGCCGCTACACTTCAGATTTCATCACTTTAGGTAGATAACCCTCATTTTTCCAAGAGCAAGTGTTGTTCAGCTTGAAATAGGGAATCAGACAGTCAGCATTTGCAGGAATGCGCATTTCTAGAAGTGTTCTGTGGTTTGGGTCCTTTGCTAAGAAAGCACCAGGTCCACCCCTCTGCCCGCACATGTAATATCTTGTGAGCCTCTTTGAGGCCACCCGAGATGTCCACATTGTGTTGACTGGATGATGTGGACAGTGATCCAGGAAGCAGCCGGCAGCAGCATGGGGAGAGGTCAGCAGAGGGACCCGAGAGAAAGAAGAGGCACGCTATGCCCAGGAAGGAGGCTTGCTTGGTGTCGGGGACACAGCAGCTGGGTTGGCCTCATGAGGCTGTACCCTGTGCAGTCCCACGGGGTTCCGGGCTTGGCTTAATGCTTCGCCGTCCCTGTCTTGATGTCCTTATTTTATTTTCATTTTTGTTTTTGTTGTTGTTGTCTTGACATTCTCAATACTTTTTGAAAAAGAGGTCTTATATTTTCGCTTCACTTGGGACCCATACATTATGTAGCTTGTTCTGCTTGCCAGCTCTGGTTCCGGGGCCAGGGCCCATTCTGCAGGGCCTGTCTGGGAGTGACTCGAGAACACGGGCTGGGGGAGGTGGGCCTGGGGTGGGGGAAATCCTTGAACAGGTCTTTGTGTGAATCTGGGATCATGGAGCTTGCTCCACCCAGAGGGGAGGAGAGGATGAAGGCTGCAGGCTTTTCTCAATTGAGAACTAGGCCCAGGAAGCCAACCCCCGAGGCTGGTCTTTGAGAGATACCAGGTGCCTGCTGTCTTCTGAGCCCCCATCAGTGAGACTAGGAGACAGGAAGGGCCACAGGGATGGAGTAGAGGCCTCGCTTGGGTGGGACAGGCAGAGCGTGCCCTGGCTCCTGGGTCAACAATTGGCCAGGATGTGGGTGCCCTCTGGCCTGGGTTCAGATATCTGTGTCCCTAAGTCCAGCCTGGTCTGGCCCACTGTACAGCTCCCTGGAGACAGACTGTGAGAGGCTTGGGTGTTACTCTGTTTTGACAGGTGGCATATGGAGGAAGGAGCCTGAGAGGCCTGGACAGACTGTGTCACTTAAGTCCTGAGACCCAGTTAGGGGCTGAGTCCTGAGGGGACCCCCCTCCCTTCTCCACACCTCACCCTCACCTTCCTGGGCCTGGGCCAGCTTTCAGGCCCAAATTTAGGTCATGGCTTTGTCTTTGCACACCTGATGCTCTTTCTGCTCCCGTGGTGTCTTGTCCCTCCCCTTCTTCCACTCCAGGTTGGAACAATATCCTCTCTCAGGGGAACATCCGCCGTCCCATGGGAAGGGCGTGAAGAGCTCCCACTGTGTGCCATCGAGGGTGACTGAGGCCTGGGCTGCTCCAAACAGGAGTGCGTTACTTCAAGGAGTTCACCCAGCCAAGCATTTATAAGTAGGACAAAGCCTGGCGGTCCCGGGGCCCCTCGAGTGGGGAGAAAACCTGGGCGACAGGGAGCAGAGTGGGGGCGTCCTGCTTTGGGCGCAGACCCCGCCCAGCCTGGGTCGCCGGTCTCCGAGAGCTGAAAGGGGCCTCTGTGTTCCGTCTCCTGCCTGCCCGCGGGCCAGGAGCGCATTTCCGCAGCTGCGCCAGACCCCGGAGGCTCCGCAGACCCTCGGGGGACAGACGCAAATAGTTCCCGGTCCAGCTGCCCAGCCAGTTACCTTGGGAACCAAACTCAATCGCCTGACGTCACTGGGCCGTTGCGTAGCAACCGGCAAAGACTCACCCTGCAGCTCTCCCCGCCTCCGCGGTGAGGTAGCCGTTGCCATGGAGACGGCGGGACTGGGCAGGGCGGTGGATGCCCTGCCCGGCCGCCCTGTCCTCCTCGACCCTCGCCCGCCTGGTCGCGTCCTCCGCTCCTCCCCGCGACGGAAGGGACCAGCCCCAGCGGAGGAAATGGCGGCTCTGGCCTCAGGCCGGCTGGCGAGGGCCCCGTGGTAGCCTAAAGTGCGTCCTGCCGCCAACTGGGATCTCTCTCCCAGAGAGGCCTTTGTTCACCGTCACCCACTGACAGCCCCCTTTTCGGTTCCCAGCCTGGGTTCCTGCTCTGGAGACACGGAGCAGGTGGCAGCACGGGGCATTCCCCCACCCCCCACCCCCATCGCCCAGGACATCTCAGCAGTGTTTGGCCGCCTGCCTTGTGGGAGGAGACACTGGGCCCTGCTCACACCACTCTGCTCCCATCCTTGGTTCCCTCCTCCACCTTCCCCTGGTGCTGACTTTCACCTCCATGCCTGCCTGCCGGTGTTGGGTGCGGTTTGGCCAGGCCACCCCTGGGTGGGTAGAGCCTACCTGACCGCTTTCCAGAGTTTCTGTTGTGGGTGTTGTTCCGCGGTTGCCCCATCTCCATTTCACACCATAGCAGGTTATACAATGCCGAATCCCCAAGCCCAGAACCTTTCAGGGGCCAGCAGCAATCTGCCACTACGCCCTGCCTCCCTCTCTGCCTTGACTTAACCGTCTTTGGCCAGGAATAATCCTAACCACCTCCTCTTGCTAGAGCACCTTGATTGTCTTGTTCAAGTTCAGAGCAGTGGAGGCCTACTGTGGCAGGTGTTTTTCTTCATCAAAAACTGCATTTTGACAAGCACTTAATATTCCCTGGTGGCTCAGACGGTAAAGAATCTGTCTGCAATGCAGAAGATGCAGGTTCGATCCCTGGGTTGGGAAGATCCTCTGGAGAAGGGAATGGCTACCCACTTCAGTATTCTTGTCTGGAGAATCCCATGGACAGAAGAGCCCGGCAGGTGGCTGTCCATAGGGTTGCAGAGTTGGACACGACTAAGCAACTAAAACACACCCAATAATATACAGGTGCTCAGAAGCAAAACCAGGTGTTTTAGGTGAATCCTGTTTTCTCATGGATATTTAAAATTCAGAGATCCAAAGGAAAAATGTTCAATCCATGGAGTTGCAAGGAGAACACTTCAGAATGCCTCAGCCCTTTCCAAAGCACATGATTCAGAGACAGTCTGACTGTGGGCAGAGGATTCACAGACAAACTCTAGTGTCGTGGTGGGCATCTTCAGGGCCTGGAGCTGAGGACTGAGCTCTGAGTGGCTTTGTGCGAACATCTGACCTCATCTGGAGCCTCAGACTGGTTTTGTGGGAAAAGTGACTTTTATTTGCCGGGGAGCCTTCAGATGTGGGTGGGAAGGGAGGTCAGGGCTGTGCCACCCACAGTGGGGAACCCTGGGCAGCCAGGAAAGGACAGTTTGCCCAGCTCCTGCTTTTTGTCTCTGGAAGGGAGGGGCGTGGCTCAGGATGTCCAGAGCTGCCTGCTCAGAGAGGCACCAGGTCTGACCTTTCCACCATGTGATCCAGGTTGGGCCAACCAGAGGCCTTCCCCTTGAAATTTATCAGACTGGAGCAGAAAACAGACTTTTCCTCTTGGTCATGGAAGTGCAAGGCTGTGGACCTGGAGCCTCCAGGAGCCTTGTCTCCTTCATAAGCAGAAGCCTGGAGAAGAGTTGCCACGGGAGAGAGAAGACACAGCCGTGGAGGTATCTTGACAGCTTTGTGTTCCCGATAGCAGGCGTCTCGAAAGTCAGTTCCTTCTCAGCCCTTTTCTGCCCAGCTTGTCAAATCTGTGGGTTTTTGTCACTTCCAATGAAGAGACTCCTGACCAATATATAGACAGACAATGCAGAAAGCCCCAAGGAAGGAAGAAAACTAACATTTGTCACAGGCCCACTGTTCAATGCTGTTCTTTTTCTAATGCATTCTTTTTTAAAAAATTAATCAATTTTTTTAATTGAACGATAATTGGTTTACAGAATTCTAATGCATTCTTGATCACAGGCATTTTAGAGGTGAGGAAATGGAGGTCTGGCCCTCATCTAGCACCAGAGTGCCTGTGAGGACACCACAGGGAGGGCCAGTGCAACGTCTGTGGTTCCTGCCTATCCAGAGACCCGCCGGCCAGGCCCTGCTCTGGAGGCTACAGTGTTCCTCTGCCATCTCCCAGGACTTGTCGGTGTCCTGCCCTTAGCCACACCCTGGCCGGGCTCAGAGATGAGGGTGTCTATGGCTCTCAGCCCGGCCTGAATGTTTCTTTAAACAAAATCTCTGCTTACCAGTCAATCTTTCAGAGGCAGAGCCCACACCCGAAAAGACTGCTGTTGAGCTAGAGAAATGCTGGTAGCTGTCAGGTGTTAACCCTAATATATAAACCAGAAACAGGAGACACCAGCTTTGTTGGGGTGAACTTGTAACTTTGTTGTGCCTCAGTCCTCAACACCAAAGAGTACCCTCCATATAGCCGCCCTGTTGTTCTGACGATGGCTCATTCTTTTTCCCCTTACACACCACCTCTGTCCCTACTAACTGCCCCTCCCCAACAGTACAATAGTTGTTCAGGGAATTCCCTGGTGGTCCAGTAGTTAGCACTCGGCACTTTCACTGCCAGAGCCCAGGGTTTGATCCCTCATTGGGGAACTAAGATCCTGCAAGCTGTGTGGTGCGGTCAGAAAAAATAAGTTTAGTTTTTATCCATCCAACACAGTGGCCCATGTGCCTGTGATAGGCTGGATCACTCCCATTTGCTGAGTGCTCCTGTCTCTTATGAATTGCTTCCTCTTGGCCTGTCCTGTGAAATGGGGCATTTCTCCAAGTCCCTGACTCTGGGCCTTTCCTTTTTCACTTCAGCCAGAGCTGGGGTGCACCCACTAACCCCTGTGTTGGATTCCTCAGTCCTGAGTGTGCTGCCCTGACCATGCAGGTACAGTAGCACCTGGATGCCTGGGGGGAGAGGGTCCCACCTGCAGAGACAATGTGCTGCCAGGTGTATCTGCCAACACCGCAGTTAATCCCACTACAAAGGGAAAGGCCAGGAGCGGGCAGGGAAAGTCCGTCCTTAGCACACAGCTCCATGCACTCTTCTGTCCTAATAAACACAGTGATCATTAACACATTGCACTCAACAATGTGCCAGGTACATTTCCAAGCCCTTGCTTCATTTAATCCTCACAACAGCCTGATGTGGCAGGTGTATCATCATTTTACAGATGAGACCAACTCATGGGGGATGAAAGTAACATAGCGAGAAGGACAAGGAGCCAGGACTCAAGGTAGCCTGACCCCCAAAGTGAAAGTGAAAGTGAAGTCGCTCAGTCGCGTCTGACTCTATGCAACCCCGTGGACTGTAGCCAACCACACTCCTCTGTCCATGGGATTTTCCAGGTAAGAGTCCTGGAGTGGGTTGCCATCTCCTTCTCCAGAGGATCTTCCCGACTCAGGGATGGAACCCGGGTCTCCCGCATTGTAGGCAAAGTGTGCTCTGTATAACTCGGCTGGCTTTTTTTTTTTTTTAACTTCATGGGTGTGGCAGCTTTTATTTATTTTTAAAAAATTATTTACTTACAAATAATAATTGTTATAATAATCATTTATAGATAATTATTTGGGCTGTGCTAGGTCTTCGTTGCTGCACAGGCTTTTCTCTAGTTGTGGTGTGTGGGCCTCTCCTGGCAGTGGCTTCTCTTGTTGTGGAGCACGGGCTCTGGGGCTCGCAGGCTTCAGCAGTTGCAGCTCTAAGGCACTAGGGCACAGGCTCAGGAGTTGTGGTACCCAGGCTTTAGTTGCCTGAGGCATGTGGAATCTTCCTGGACTGGGGATCCAACCCCTCTCCCTGGCATCGTAAGGCAGATTCTTATCCACTGTAACCCAAGGAGAGTCTGAAACTCTGCTGGCTTTAACACACAAAATGGTGTTGGTCCAGCAGCCCTTGCTGTGAGGAACCCCCATTTCTGGACTGACCCGGCCCCAGAGGTGGACCTGAGGCCCACGGTAGGCAACAAGCTATTTCATTTCCCATGGCCTCCGTGATTGGCTCAACAGGGCATCGGAGCCGTGTCTTCCCCTGGGATTCTCCTGCCAGAGCCAGGGGGAACAAGAGCCCCTCTTTCCAGGAAGGTGTCTGAGCACTGGAGAATGGAGCGGGCACAGGAGGGGCCGAGCTGGAAAGACAGAGCCCCGAGGCCATGGCTGAGGCCTGGGTGCCAACATGCCGGCACTTGGCAATTGTGCTAGTCGGATAATCCTTTCCCCTGAGCTGGGTTGAGCTCGGTTTCCATCTTTCGTTCACCTTTGCAGTCTCAGGATCTAGCAGTGCCTGGCCTAAAGTGGAGTTTTGTTGTTGTTTAGTTGGTAAGTTGGGTCCGACTCCGTGACCCCATGGATTATAGTGCCATGGACAGGCTCCTCTGTCTATGAGATTTCCGAGGCAAGAATACTGGAGTGGGTTGCCATTTCCTCCTCCAGGGGATCTTCCTGACTCAGGGATTGAACCCGAATTTTCAGCACTGGCAGGTGGATTCTTTACCACTGAGCCTCCTGGGGAGCAGAGTGGCACTTGCGTCTGTGCGTGATAAGTGACCTCAGTCATGTCTGACTCTCTGAGACTCTACGGGCTGCAGCCTGTTAGACTTCTCTGTCCATGGAATTCTCAAGGTAAGAATACTGGAGTGGGTCACTGTGCCCTCCTCCAGGGATCTTCCCAACCCAGGGGTCGAACTTGCGTCTCTTAGGCCTACCTGCATTGGCAGGCGGGTTCTTTGCCACTAACATCATCTCTTTATCACTAACATCATCTGGGAAGACCAATAGTGGCACTTACCCTGGTTCAAAAAATATTTGTTGAAAGCGTCTGGGGTCCACGTGGCAGTTATGTCTACTCTGTTCTGGGCTCTGGGCAGGTCGAGCTGCTGGGCCACCCTCCCCACCAAGCACCCACCATGCCTGCCTCTACTTTTGTCATCCTTGCCTCTGTCAGGGACACAGCCTTCTTCTCTTTGGGTCTGCCTCAAAGGACCCCTGATCCTGGGATCTGAACTGACAACCTCCCTCCTCTGGATTCCTTGCTTTCACTCCAGAGGGGCAGCTCACGTCTCACCTACAGAAAGTGGCAGCTCCTTGTGGGAAGGGGTAGACACACCTGGTTTTATGCCCTTGGGGCCTGGCATCAGACTCACTCACTGGAAGCATCTGCTGGGGAGGGGTGGTAAGTGCACGCCTCTGGGGGGTCAGGCCAGTGACGTTAGAGCTGATGTAGGGCAGGCGGTTCCTTCTAAAGTGGGCAGCTCGGCTGCAGGTTGCCCAGAAGAAAGAAGGCCCCTAGGTTTCTCAAGAGAAGCAGAAGTCCATTAATAAGTATTTATTTATTTGGCCACACCAGGTTTTAGCCATGGCACACAGGCTAAATGTGCTGTACGCACATTTGGTGCAGTATGCAATCTTTGGTGCAGTACGCAAACTCTTAGTTGTGACATATGGGATCTAGTTCCCTGACTGGAGATCGAACCTGGGCCCCCTGCATGGGGGGGCATGGATTCTCAGCCACTGGACCACCAGGGAAGTCCTCAGAGATTCATATTTTTATTTAAAAATCTCTTGGCTTGGACTTCCTTAGTGGGGCAGTGGATAAGAAATCCATCTGCCAATACAGGGGACTCGGTTCAATTCCTGGTCTGGGAAGATTCCATATGCCTCAGGGCATCTAAGCCCGAGCATCACAATCACTGAACCGGTGCTCTAGAGGCCTCAAGTCACATCTACTGAACCTGTGCAACACAGCTGCTGAAGTCCGTGCACCGTAGAGCCGGTGCTTCGCAACAATAGAAACCACTGCAATGAGAAACCTTCCCACCACAATGATGAGTAGCCCTAGCTTGCCACAACTAGAGAAAACCCGAGTGAAGGAATGAAGACCAGTGCAGCAGAAAATAAATTAAAAAGAAAGAACTACTATGAAGGGCAAACAATCCATCAGTGGGCTGGTTCCTGCCAAGGTCTCCCATTTGGAGACTCTGCTGGGAACAAAGGATGGGTGAATGAAGGACTCCATGTCCAGGGCTGTAGAGAAGGTGTGTGTGTTGTGACCCAGCCAAGGGCGAGAGTCAGGGCTGATGCCAGCCAGATCACTCACCAAATCATGTGGCCAGGTTTGCACTGTGTTCCAGCCAGAGGGTGGTCTGGTGGTCTTCCAAAGCAGGTGGCTCCCTTGTCAAGGTGGACAGAATCACAGACAAGGGTCAAAACCACGTCAAGAAAAAAAAAAAAAACCACGTCAAGAGACCTGGGTCTAGGGTGACCAACTTATCCTGGTTTGCCTGGGATTTTCTTGGTTTTAAATCTGAAAGTCTCACACCCCAGGAACCCCAGGCAAAGCAGGGTGGTTGGTCACCCTACCAGGATCCCTCTTCCCACTGTGTCTGCCATCTGCTGGAGGATAATAATCGTGGCAGGTGACACATGTGAACTCATTAACTGCCAAACATCATGTGTTAGACCTGTGTTGTCCTCCTTATGTCTTAGAATAGCTTCATGGTATGGGTTTGCTGTTGGTTATATGGAGGAGAATTGGAGGTTCAGGAGGGTGAAGAGATTGGCCCATGGCCGGTAGGGGTGCTAGGATTTGAACCCACATTGGTCTTGCTCTGCCTTCTCAACCCCACTACCAGAGAGCCTGGCAAGCTGGCCTGAGCCTGCTAAACCAGGAAGCCCCAGAGAAGGGTCAGGTCTCACTTCCTCAGAAATGCACTTACCTGGTTAGAGGTCCAGACCAGATCAATTTTTGCAGTGGTAAAGTATCTGCCTGCCAGTGCAGGAGACCCAGGAGATGCGGGTGCCATCCCTGGGTTGGGAAGATCCCTTGGAGGAGGAAATGTCAACCCACCCAAGTATTCTCGCCTGGAAAATTCCATGGACAGAGGAGCCTGGTGGGCTACAGTCCATGGGGTCGCAAAGAGTCAGGCACGATTGAGCGACTGAGCATGCACAGCTCCCCACACCTGGCCTCCCGGGCCTGCCCCGGCCCTTCTCTCTTTTTTTTTAATTTTGATTTTTAAAATTGCATTGGTCATGCCACACAGCATGCAGGATCTTAGTTCCCAGACTGGGGATTGAACCTGTGCCCCCTGCACTGGAAGGGTCAGAGTCTTAGCCACTGGACCACTCAGGAAGTCCCAAGGCAGGTCTCTTTCTGCACTTTGGCTCCCGGCTCCTGAGTGGGACAAGCTGAGAAGCCCTCAGGAGGGCACCTTTCCATTTCCAGAGCACCCTAGCCCCGTCCTGTCCCTCCACCCTGTGCCCACTGCACATACAAGGGAGGAAGCCGGCGCTTGGAAAATAAACGCTGGCCGGTGGTTTATTGCCCAGTCTGGGGAGAGCTGTCCAGAGCAGGGGTGGGTGAGAAAGCGGGGCAGGAGTGCCCCTGGGGTCTTGGGAAGCTGCCGAACACGGGGCCCAGTCCCAGTAGGGGTGGGCATGGGCCTAGTGTGGGGTGAGATGGCTGGTCAGGTAGTGCATGGCCGAACGGATGCCCTCGATGGTCCTCCGCTCCACTGATTCCAGCACGTGGGTGATGGAGCGTAGGGCCGATCTAGTCCTCACCACCAGCCTGGAGGACAGGGCAGAGCTGGCTCTCCCCAGGATGCTGGAGACGGAGCGCAGGCTGGGCCCTGGGCTGTGCAACAGGTCTGACATGGAGCCACGGCCGGTGGCCAGGAAGCCCGTGGCTAGGCCCATGGTGGCATCGGACCACACTAGGATGTCTGCCAGGGAGCTGATGGACCCCTCGCCCCCACCCAGCAAGCTGGTCATGGAGCGCATGTAGCTGTTCTCGCCAGCCATGGAGTCCAGGTGACCCATCCGCGGGGCTGGTGCTCCGGGGCCCGGCGAGGCAGGGGCTGACGGTGAAGCGTCAGGGTCAGGGTTCAAGGCTTCGGGACCCTCTGGCTTCTCTTCAACAGCTTCAGGGGTGTCAGCAGTCCCAGGGTCAAGCTGGTCCTTGGGGTCGGCGGTGCTCACGATGGGCTGAGCCTCCACGTTCTGGGGAGACTGTGCCTCGGCACTTGGGGTGGCTGTTGCTGGCTCCTGCTCTCTGTCTGGGGTGGCCACTGCTTGTGGCGTTGCTTCCTTAACCAGGGAGATAACTTGGAAAATCTGAGGATTCTGAGTCCTGCTGGAATCTTGCACCAGGACTTTCTGCACTAGGTTCTGGAAGTCCGGGGAATTTTTCAGGATACCTGGGGCCAGATCAGCAGGCAGGGCTGTGGCCTCCCTGGACTCCTGGGCTTCCCCCTCGGCAGCTTCATGCTTATCTGCGTCCCCGGGCTCTGACATGGCCCCCGAGGTGGCTGGCTCAATGGAGGCCTGATCTACATCCTGCCGTTCAGCTGATGTTATAGAGTTAAGAGATGCTGGGTCATCTGCAAAGAGGGGGACCTGACTTTGGGACCCCACTGCTGGGATGTCTGTAGACCTGCTGTCACCATGTAGAGGGTTGTTGGTGGCTCCAGCCTCTCCCAAGGGCACGGTGGTCATCTAAGCCCTTTGTTACTTGTGCTGGTTGAGAGAGTGGCCATGGCCCTGCAGGGCTGAGCTCCCCAGATGGTGAGGTCACAGGGGACTGTCAAAGCTGGCGATGTCACAGGTACTGGCAGAGCAAGGTCCCTGCACCTCTGGAGTGGCTGCCCTAGTGGGCTGAGTCTGTGGGACTGTTTGTAGCCATGTTTGCAGATGTCTAAGGAGATGCAGTCAAGTGTCTTGGAAAAGCAGGGAGGTTGTATACAGGGGCAGGTGCCCACCAGGAATCAGGATGCTATGGCTCTCACAAAAGGATGGGATGCAGATGCCGATTTGTAGTAAAAGTTATAAGGGACCACTCCCAGCACCTCTCTGTCCACACTGGTGACTCATTTGGCCAGTCCGTCTGCAGAGACTCGGTTTCGCAGCAGTGGTGAGTAGGAACAAGGGAAGGGGAGGGGCTTGGGCAGCTCCCAGCCCTGACTGTCTTGGTTGTGGGGAGCTATAGACTTAAGGTTTGTGTTTCACCACAAAGTTTGTATGGTTGAAAGCTATAGTACTTGGAGGTGGAGACTTTGGGAAGTGATTGGGTCATGAGGGTGGCACCTTCATGAATGGGATTAGTGCCCTTATAAAAGGGACCACACAAAGTGCCCCCTTCTCCATGCAAAATGCAGCTAGAAAACAGCTATCTATGAACCAGGAAGCAGGCCTCACTGGACACTGAATCTGCAGCCCAAATGTGCTGATACAGGGGTTAACCCTGTGAAATAGAATAAACAATCTCCATCTTCTCCCTGCTTAGCTAGGCTGAGAGGGCAGAGAATAACAAAGGATCTATAAACCCTCTAGTGTTCTCTGGAAATGTGTGGACCCAGATAAACCTATTCGAGCTTGTGCTCTTCTTTAAGAAGGTGGTTGGAGAGAAGGTTCCAATCTGTTGTCTCGCTTCCCCTGGGGTTATCAGCTAATATTTAGTGACTGCTTATCATGGGCAGATATGTGACTTCCCTGGTGGCTCAGATGGTAAAGCGTCTGACTACAATGTGGAAGACCCAGGTTTGATCCCTGAGTTGGGAAGATCCTCTGGAGAAGGAAATGGCAACCCACTCTAGTACTCTTGCCTGGAAAATCCCATGGACGGAGGAGCATGGTAGGCAACCATGGGGTCGCAAAGAGTCGGACACGACTGAGTGACTTCACTTTCACTTTTATCATGGGCAGAAGAAGGAGCTAAACATCTAATCCTTCCAACTTCCCTGTCATCTCTAGGTAGGTGCCATCCATTATTATATCCATTCTATATAGGGGGAAGCTAAGCTTCAGAGGGAATAAGTGACTTATTCAAAGGCACATATCAATAAGCACTGAATCTGATTTGAAACCTGTCTGGCTTCAGAAGTCAAGTTCTCCAGCACTATTTTGTACACAGAAGGGATATTAAAATATTGAATGACCAGCATGGTAAGGATACTGGCTAATGCAGAGAGAGGCCTACCATAATCCAGCCACATCATTAGGTAACAGTTGCTGTCAATTCTCCCAGCACCAGGCTCAAACGTATTTCTTCTCCCCATGAAAGCTCTGCGGCCATCTGAGAGGTCACAGGGCAAACCCAAGTTTGTTGCGGGTGGGACAACCTTCTACTTGGTGAAGAAATTTTTGAGAAGACTGCTAGTTGCTCACAAAAGCCTAAAGTCTAAGGGAAAATTTCTGCACAGAGTTTAGTGATGCCTTCAATATTCAGTCTTCTTTCTCTCCTCTCCGTTTCCCCTTCCTCACTGATGGCTAGATTTTTGGGAAGATTCCTCTGGGTGCAGGTTGCTAGCACCTTCAGGCTAGTGCAGAAACCCTGGCCCTTGGTAATTAATGGCAAACATCAGGCCCTGAGTCTCATGGGCCTTCTCTGAAGGAGTCAACACAGCTTGGGGACCACACCCTGGTTGGTCAGGCCTGGAATGGGGCTCGGGGTCAGCCCCACTGAAACACAAGGCCTGTAAGTGGAAATCAGGTTGGTCCCCAAAGGAAATTGGGTGCCGTTATGAAAAGAAGGCAAAATGGATGCTAGTCAAGAAACACAGAAAAGATCCACTCTATGGCGATTATAGACATCTAAAGAAAGTGTTTATTGGGGAAAAGCCTGGCAGGTAATGAAGCAAAATGTTCAGAAGAGACTCTGATTATTGTGACAAAATTGGAAAATACACAAGCGAAAACAGGTAAATAGAAATAAAAATAAAAACACCCTAAGCAATATGGTAGACTGAGTGAGTGGGAAGCCTGTTACACAGCACACTCACACAAATATCATATAGGGTTAATATCTATACTGTAGGAACTTCCCAGGTGGTCCAGTGGATAGGACTCAGTGATCCCAATGCAGGGGGCCTGGGTTCGATCCCTGGTTAGAGAACTAGATGGCACATGCCACAACTAAGAGTTCACTTGCCACAGCTAAAGATTCCACATGCTGTAACTAAGAGATGATACAACCAAATAAGGAAGTCAAGGAAGGCCTGGAGACCCCTAGAAGATGGAAGAGGCAAGGAGGGCCTTCCCAGAGCCTTGAGAGGCGAGTGTGGCCCTGTTGACAGCTTGACTTTGGACTTGGGTCTCCAGAACCATGAGAGAATGACTCTGTGTTGTTGTCAGACACCCAGTCCATGGTTATTTACCTTGGCAGCCGAGGGAAACTAAGATAGCCTCCCATGGTGATGGTGATGTCCAGTTGTTATCACTCTCAGCACGTGCTCAGACACCATGTACTTGTCCTCCTCCGATGTCTCGTGGTTAAGTACTGTTACCACCTTGTACAGACGGGGAGACTGCAGCTCAGATAGAGGAAGACCTGGGTATGAGCCAGGCTGTCTGATTTGAGCCCACACTCTTCACCCCTGCCTGATCAGGCCAACTGACATTTAGCAGCCAGCACCCCTTTGGAGCAGGTCAGAACTTTATTTCCACAAACCTGTGTGATCATTTCTGGGGCAATGCCCCCACCCCCGTTGCCCCAGTACCTGACGTTTCCACAGGTTTTCTACACCCCCTGGGATGGGCGCCGTTGCCACGGGCACTGCTCGGTGCTGCCACCTTAAGGTGGCCACCAGGATCGGGCCAGACCCCAGCCTTCCACCACGGTTCCTGCAAGTGTGGGCCTGTAGCTCTTGTCTGCAAGAATCCCCTGGGGCCCTGTCCCTGACGAGCGGGGTGCCCGCGGGCCCCACCTGCCCGTGAGACCACCTTGGGGCCTGAGTCTGGTGGGTGCTCCGTCGTAGCTCTCACTCCCAGGGCAGCCACCTGAACACCAGTGTTCTAAGGGGAGACTGCAGTTTTTGCCTCTTGCCGGGACTCCCACTTCCTGCGTGTTCAAAACACTTAAGGAGTCGGAGCTCCAACCATTAGCAGGTGGTGTGGGAATTCTACTTAGAACCTACACTGGATTTGTTTGGGAGAAGCAGGTTAATAAGCCCCATGGGATGGGGGCTGAGACCCCAAAGGCATTCATTCTCAAATGACAAAGGACGTCACCCTGCTTTCTAAGGAGGTGAACGTGGTTATCTGGAGAGGAGAAGCTTTGTTTGGAAAGAGCTGGGTTTGGGCTGGGAGCCCTACAGCCAGGCTGTTCTGTGGGAGAAAGGGGGTGAGGGCTTTGAAGTTCCTTGGCTGCACTGAGAAGGGGAGAAAGGTCAGGCCTCTCTGGGGGTGGAGCAGGTGAGGCTTGGGGAGAACAGAAACATCTAGAGGGAATTTTTAAACTGTTTGTGTTGAGGTCTCCAAGGTAAACCCCTCACCTCCACAACATCAGAAATCAGGCCTTGTTTGCCAGTGCTTTTGTGTGAGCGCTGGCGGCTAGAGACATGCAGGCCCCCAGGAGCGGGAGGGTAGGGCTTTCTCCTGTAGGTTGGTGCAGAGCAGACTGCCCTGGGGAAGGAGAACAGGGACAGTGGGGTGCTGAGCTACAAAATGGTGCTGGGACAATCGGTTGAATATTGGAAAAACAGTGGGTTAGTTTCTTACTCTCACTTGGGGATGAAAACTACAAAGAGAGAGAGAGAGAGAGAGAGAGGTCATAAGTAAACTGCAAATACTTGATTTGGGGAAGAAGTACTTTCTAAATATAGCAGCCAGTAAAATTCCAAGGAGGAAAAATCAGTCTAAAAATAGATCAAGGACTTCCTGGTGATCCAGTGGTCTAAGACTCTGTGCTGCCAATGCAGGGTGTCCGGGTTTGACCCTGGTTAGGGAACTAGATCCCACATGCCTCAGCTAAGACCTGGCACGGCCAAGTAAGTAAATAAATTTTCCTTAAAAAATAAAAAGATTAAAAAAAAATGTCGAAAAGTAATTAAAAAATATTTTAAGAACAAGACACCAACAAAAAATATTTGCTACAAATACCCTACAGGGTTAATATCTATACTGTATAAAGATCCCAGATTGAAAAGACACCATTATATTCCAAATAACACAATATGCAAACAATGAGAACAGACCATTCACCAAAGAAATCTAAATAACTAATAGCCATGAGACAAAATTCAGAAGTACTAGTGGTCAAAGAAATACAAGATTAAAAAAAAAACAAAACAAGATATCTTTGGGTAGTGGGATGATAAGTGACTTAATTTTGGGGGGGGGGAGCAAGCTTCATTTTCTGATGTTTCTCTAGTAATATTTCTTACTTGCCTTAAGAAAAGATTCTAAAAGTTAAAAGCACATGGTTTGGTCAAATAACAAATGAATAGCCTGTATCAGAGACTTTTTCGTTGTGGTGGATCGTGGGCAAGTTTTTTCTTTCAAGCTCTTGCACATTTTAAAATTTATACAGTTCATTTGCCCTCTCAACAATGGGTAAAAACCACTTGAAGCATTAGAACAAATTTGCAAGTTAAGATAAATTCCTTCCAGAAGCCTGGGCCCTGAATATAAATAGGATTCCTAGGGCCACCCAAACACCCACTCTGAGTGGGAAGGGACTCGAACTGAGGGGCCACCTTCACACCTCCCTCTGCAAAACA